GTACAAAGCAATGGTCACAAAAGTCTCTGCGCGGAACCGAGGAGGCGAAGTCCGACTGAAAGCTGCGGCTTCCTTTGCTGATTCGGGCGACATCCATGATGTTGTCGATGAACTGTGGAAAAATGCTGGGGACAAGAAACAGACCCTGATTGATACGGAAATCGACCTTCTTCTCAAGCGAACGGGGCAAGTGCCACTGGAGCCTTACGACATCATATCTGACCCGAAAACCGTCATTTCCCTTTCGCTCTTGTACAACAGCATGCAATGGCTTGCCAGTCACCTTGCGAGAATTCGACTCGTGGTTGAACAGACCGCGGATGCCGAGTCATCCAGTTTGACTGCAACTGGCCGGCCGTCTCGTAGATGGACTCTGTTCGGATCGATGAAACCCAATCGTGACAGCATCAATAACCCGGTGCATTTGCCACTCAACCACGAGACTGCCGTGGCCTTTGATGGGACGCTCCAGTCATTACACCGACTTGGGGATACTGCACTTTTGGCGATGCATGTTGACATCCGCTGTGGCATCATCCACATGTTGACTAAAACAATGGCCGGGCCGAACCCTCCCAACTTGAGGAACTCCGAACCCGTCACTCCATCCCCACACACAACGGACAACTGGTGGCACATTATCATGAATCAACCGACCGCTGCATCACCCACAATCCTCGCACTCAACAATGATCTCATCGCATTTGACACCAACATCTCGACATATCTGGGATCTGTTGAGCGCTGGTTCATCACATCGGGCCTGGCAAGGTTTATCGATCGGGTCTTTGTCGCCTGCACCCAGTATATTGGGGCTATGAATGAGAATGGAGCGCTGCGATTGCAGCTTGATGTGCTTGTTCTTCAACAGAACTTGAAGAACATCATCATCAATCCAGCTGGTGAATCGTCGGATTCGGCTACTGATTTACATGTGCAGGCTTCTCAAGAGATTGTCGCTTTACCACGCAGCGCAAAATTCCTGGACTGGTTCCTGGAAGGCGCCGAGAGGACCCTGGATTACGCTAAGGAAGAGAAGGAGGCTTTTGCATCACAAGGCGACAAAGCCTTGGCTGCTGGAAACGGCGAGCCATTTACTTACGAGGAGTTGCGTGTTCTCGTAGACCTATGCTTCTCTGAAATTCTCCGTGGTCCACGCGGGGCGGAGAGCCGGGAGGACTTTATGTCGGCGAAAAAGGCCAGTGCGGATGCGCTACTGAGGCTGAACGAGATCATGTGGGATGCTCGATAGGGCCTGTTCTTCGGTTTTCTTGACGATTCGCTCCCTTTTGACTAGCAAATCCACTAATCACCCAAAGCAGCAATCTCATTTCACCTTGACTCACAGTCATTTCCTCATTTTTTCCCTCTTTAATATAAACAATCTCCACTAGCCCTAACTCGGAATAGCATAACGGGCCCAGTACCGTTTTCGGCTTCTCCGGAGGACTCAAACTGGCTGAGGATCCCCGCCATGTTTCATCTTTAGAGTGTAGTTCTGTACTATGAAATGAACAAATCACTAGTTCATCAAGCCATATGCAGAGATTATGATGGATCATTAGGGTGCCTAGACTTATATCTCACCCATCCCATCTTTTCCCTCTCTTCTCATACCTTCTTTTGCTTCCTTTGCACTTCCTGTCTGGAACAGTAATTCTTTCGAATCTGGCATTCGTTATCCAGACGTCCATTCTTTTTGTGCACTTGCACGTCCTATCCTTAAGAGTCTACCTGTGACTTCGTTCATTCGATCTTCCATCTTCGATATCTTGTCTTACAGTACCCTTCATTACTTCGATCTACATATCCAACAATGAAGTATCTTCGTCTAGCCTCTGTGGCCGCTCTTGTTAGCGCTGCTACTGTGTCTGCCGGCCCATTAGGTGCCCGCGAATATGACGGATACTGTCCCAAGGGCTACACTATGAGCGTCTACTACAAGACCGTCACTGTGGAAACATACCCCACTGCGACCTCGGTAGAGACTACAGTTACCCCAACATCTACTCCAGTTACTGTTGAGTCCCAACCCTCCGCTGAGCCCACAGCGACCTCATCGTCTACTGCCATTGTCGTGGAGTCTACAACCCCCGTCGCAGTTGTCCAAGTCGAGACTACGACCTCTTCGGCCTCTGCTGCTGAGACCTCTACCGCCAAATCTTCTGCTGCCGAGGCCGCAGTTGTCAAGACTGCCCCAGTTGTGGATGTTCTGCCCACTGCGTCAGTTGAGACTGCCGCTGTCGTCAAGACCCTTGCGGCCCCTGCCGTGGAGACCGCTGCCGCGCAGTCCTCCACCACTCAAGCTCCCATCGAAGTCGCCAGCACTTCCACCACTCAAGCTCCCGTCGAAGTCGCCAGCACGTCCACCACTCAGGCTCCTGTTGAGGCTGCCAGCACTTCTACCGAATCTGCCACTTCCTCTGCCACCAAGTCTGCTTCCAACAAAGCTGTCTCCACCGGGTCCTCCAACGGGACCCCCGGCAAAGCCACCTTCTACGGCGGCAACGTCGCCGGCGGAACATGCTCGTTCTCCGGCTACACCATCCCAAGCCACCTCTTCGGCACTGCCCTCTCTCTCCAGCGATGGGACAATGCAGCGGAATGCGGTGCCTGTGTATCCGTCACCGGACCTAAGGGTAACTCTATCAAAGCGATGGTAAGTCAAGCTTCCCCTGCCCTACAAATCCTCTCCGTCCCAAAGCAACTCTAACAGAAATTAGATCGTTGATCAATGCCCTGAATGCGAAAGCAACCACCTCGACCTCTTCCAAAACGCCTTCGCCGAGCTCTCAGACATCTCCGCTGGCATCATCCAGACCACCTGGTCATATGTCTCATGCGATCTGGATGGACCCCTGAAGCTCAAGAACAAGGAGGGTACATCCGCCTACTGGTTCTCGATGCAGGTTGTCAATGCCAACGAGGTTGTGACTGCGTTGGAGGTTAGCACTGATGGCGGTAGTTCATGGAAGAGCACCACCCGCACTAACTACAACTTCTTCGAGAACACCGCTGGATTCGGTGCTAGCACTGTTGATGTGCGGGTTACCGGTGCCAGTGGCAAGACTGTCGTTGTCAAGGATGTCGGAGTTAGCTCTGGCACTGAGGTTACTGCCGGGTCGAACTTGTAAATTTTCCGTTGAGGATGGGTGTTGTATATTTACTTTCTTCTGTTGATATTTTTTTTATTGAGGTGGTTTGGCGAGATTCCTGTGTTCGAGGTTACCTAGTCCATTGCAACATGATATATAGCAATGTCTATCTACAAGGTTACACACACTCTCTGAAACATAAAGGTCATTGGCTCTCTATCATAAATCCGTAGTTGGCTGGTCAAGACTCAGTTGTACACCCCACAACCAGAATAGGCCGTGATGCAACATGCTAACGAATCTATCCTGCTGTATATGCTATCCGCAAAATCTCACATCTAGTGGATCATTACTGCGTCTTCACTTCCTTATCGGCCTCGACATTCTCCACGTGTGGGTGTGAGTCCAGACTGTGAACCGTGTCCTCGGGGAAAGAAACACTATCAACAACACCGAGAATTAGCCATCTTACACTGGAAAAGGACCGATAGTGTCAGAACAACTCACGCAAAGCCCTTGATCAACGAATACTCGTGTCCGATGGTGCCACCTTGCTCCTTAGCGTGGTCCTTGACGCTAAAAGACATTTGAGATATTAGTATAGTGTATCTCGAATATGGAATATGGGCATGAGATGCATACGCTTGAACCTGGTCGTCGGTTGCGTCTGGCTTGCACGTGATCTAAGAGAGTTAGCGAAATGCTCATGGGGTGTACGCTCGGGATATGGTATTTACTCACAATATAGGAAGACATTTTGAGATGGTTTATAGAAACGTGGTGATAGGAAAAGGGGGAAACAGACTTAAGTAGAAGAGATCTGGATTTCGTTGACATCATAGAGGGGTAGCCTCATAAGCTGATCAAGGCTGTGTTATCTCCGCACGGCCGTGAGTCAGTGGCGGGTTATATACTTATGTAGGTACTCTTGTATTCTTATGTTCTTGTATTGGCTTATTGGCTTGTTCTTATTATATCTAAACTTCAATGACGCCTTATGGAAGTACATGGAACTTGTAGCTCTCTTTTTAGGGCTACCTACATATAGGCAGTAACTACTCAATGATGTAACCCTAGGCGCACCTACAACATACATACATTCCAAGATTGTTTAGGCTAAACTATTTCGGAACTAAACTTAACTGTATATCCTCCATCTTATCCGCGCAAACGCTCCGTACACGAGCTTCCTAGGCTATTACTATCAGGACATTGACATCAAGCAGGTGCAAACGAGCAATGTGCTCCTCTACGATTGCGCATTGAACATAGCCAATCCGTGCGATGCTCCAACCGTACAATCTTTATGGCTCTTCCCCGGTGCTCAGGTGAGAAGACGTGACTCGGACTCGGGACCTCCGGAGGTCGGGACTATCTCTGCCACAATCTCACCCCCAAAAGGGAGATATCCCAATCTACACCATACTTATGTTGTGACTTGGTGAAACCCAACACACGACTAAATATACAATTATGACACGATTCCTACACGGACAACTCTAAAGAGAGATATAATATAGCAGTTTGAAAAAAAAAAGGACTTATCAACCCGCAGCTCCATTCCAAGGCAAACCCATCCCAGCCGTAGATTCGCCAGCCCACAATCCATTAATGATGAAAGAAAAGAACAAAGAACAAAGAGAGAAAAAAAGAACAAAGCCCGAGTAGCGTACAAAGACCGCAAATGTGTGAGCAGAGAATGATCAAAGGGGTGAAACAACAGGAGAGGAAATTGCACAGACAAGTTGTAAGGGTAGCTAATGGGGAATTTAACACTCAGAATGCCAGGGGCAAACCGTATTGCGAGGAAACAGAGGGGGGGGGGAGGATGAGAAGTTCATGGTGAGGTTACATCGATTGGAGGAAACATCCATGGTAGTAAGAGAAAAGATCTGTCAACAACAGAATAGCAGATTTGGAAAAAAAAAAAGAGAGATGAGGGTATGTTCAAGTCTTGACCTCCGGAAACGCAACAAGTCGTAGCACATGCAGAAGAATAAGGATAATAAGCCTAATCCATCTCCAGTGACTCTAGCTCTTTTGACTCCTCGTAATCATCAAAGTCCAGGCCGGCATCCCGGCAACGCGACAGCCACTTCAGGGCAATGTTGTTGCGTCGGGCGACCTCGCCTTTGAGCTTGGAGTTCGAGCTACTGATCTCGGCGATAGCATGATTAGCAGTCAGGCTGTGCTTCTCGAATTGTTCGTCGATGTTCTTCTTTTCTTCCTGGAGCTGCAGGATATATTCAATAGCGCGTTGGAGTATCGCGCCCTTGTTCTTATCACAGTTCGGTACAAGACGGGCAATCTGGTTGATACCTTCATTAATAGCTTCGCGGCGGCGACGTTCAACTAAGGGAAGGGGTCAGTATGTAAACACACGAATTGGATCAGAAGAGTGGTCCTTACCTTCTTTGTGATTGTTCTTGCGAATTTGGTGCCATTCGGGGGAACCAACGGTAGGCTTCTGGTTCATACTCTGAGCCTCGCGCGCGGCATAAACCGCAGCAGCGGTCGAATTGTGGTTGTGGCCACCGCCCATGGGAGTCTGGTTCATCTCATCGCCAAAGGACAACCCTTGGGTGAGGTTGCTCGCATCGAAGCCGGAATCGGGAGGAGGGGGGTACTTGTGTTGAGGAGTGTGGGCAGCTAGGGCGGCTTTGGCATTGGCGGTCAACGCGTTATCGTCGGACAGGCCGTTCTGCGGACCGACATGTTGAAGAATTTGTTGATCGATGTTGAGTTCGGCCCCAGTGTTGGGAAGTCCGTGGTCGTAGTTTCCGAGCCCCCCGTGGCCAAAGTTGTGCTGGTTATCCATGCTGCCGTTGCTTCCGTGGGAAGAGCGGTTAAGACGCTGCGGGTCGGGACCAAGATCCTCAGAGCCGTCTCTCTTGCGCTTATGCGAGCCGTTATCCGGGCTATTCATGGTGGGATCAGACATGCTAAGCCCTAAAGCTAATCGTCCTATCCGTGGTAGTGGTTAGTGGCCAGTAAGTAAAAAGTGAAGTAAAACAAGTCTCGGAGGATAAGAGAATGGTATGTGATTGGAGATGTCAATGCAGCCTGTAAGTTGGTGCCTGGTAGATCAAATCCCTCTCGGGAAGATCAGTGGGCGCCCCCGCGAAGTAAACAGACGCGTAGGTCCGACGCGCTCCTAAGGCATCCTAGGGAGGCCAGTCACGTCGGACTCGGCCATCGCCAGTAGATTTCTTTCTGGTAGGCGGCAGTGCATGGGGACAGTTCTACGGGGTAGTGACGTTGTCAAGCGATCGCATATAATGCGATGTCTCGAAATATCCGCGAGGTTGCAGACATCAGGAACGCGTCCTGATGGCTTGCAGGCAGCGCAGGTCACACAGGACGGGAAGCATCGTGAAGGGCACCAGTTCCGATGAGCATCACGACGCGAAGTGCAATAACATGGGGAGATCTGGATGAAGATGGGGCATTGATGGAGCCGTACCTTGGGATGATCTCTCTTTATCACCTGACAGGAAGTCACCTGCCCGACAACAACAAGACTCAGGTCACGTTGTCTGCGAAACCCGAATTCGAAATTGGGATGTGAAAATGGGAAAGTTGGAAATTTGAGGAAGCCGATATCAGGATATGCAAACGACTTCGCAATCTACCTCGCGGTAAATTTAGAAATAAGAAAACGTGTTTCTTTAGGAAGATGTAGAGCAGCGGACAAGTTCAAGATGGATTGCTCACGTGGCAAGGAGGTGGTCAAGAGGAGGAGTCGCGCTGAATCCGGTGGACCAGAACGACCAATAGCGCAATAAATCACCTGATTGCTCTTTTTCAACAATGTACACTGACATAAGCAAACCGCATATCGCAAATGAGCCACCTGGAAGCCCTGGAGGTCTAGACAATTTTGCAAACATAACCAAAAAGAAACCGACAGCAAGAGCTGAAGATAACCAACTAAAATGCTCGAACGGCCCCGGGGATGTCTACGCCTCCATCTCTCATCAGAAGTCATGTGCAGCCATCCCGTGCCCCTCTGCTGCACACCTACTTTCTTGGTCTCTGATTGGCTGCCGGCTCTCGTGTGAGTGATCCTAGATCACGTGTAGGGGTGTCTTATGGACCAATCACAGGTGCTATTCACCCACTACGAGGGGCCGGGCCGTCGGATACAAAGAACTTCATAAATCTACACGATTAATAGGTATATAGTCGTAGTCTAGACACCCTAGAGGCCGGCTAACTACATGAAATATACCCGGCATTGATCCGAGGTGGCTGTCCATCCTTGTTCCCCTGCAAGTGATCGGCCTAGATCCACTAGTGTATGGAATACCCCCTTCAACCGAATCAGGAAACGCAACAGGGAAATATCCCAGGACGGTGGTAGCAATGGGAAACAAGATCGTGCACAATGTAGTGGGTGTACTGATCTAGGTCATAATATAACCCGAATTCTTTTCAAAATGCACCAAACTGAAGAGGATACATCGTTGGTAGTGCTCATCCCTTTATCTCTGATCTCTCATCGGGGTGGGGGAGAGGAGAATCACATGTTTCAGATCAAGCATCCTGAAATAGCATTCCCTAAGCCCTCCACACCACCATATCTTCAAAGGGTTGCATCGGATATCCAAAAAGGTATTTCCTAGTACTTTGTGTGCATACTGATCAACGTGGAGACGAGACTGAGTGATCAGGAGGCCTCAAAATTCAACCTCGAGGCGATATTAAGCTAAATGTGTGAACTTTGCGCCTGAAGATTGCGACGATCTCGATGATCTTCTTCTGTGTGTCATCACGTTTAAGTCCTTTATCACATGGATCCCTTCCACATGATGCGCCTGTGGCAATCGGTGGAGTTTCCATTCTTGTAGGAAGGATCGCCATAACACTGAGAAATATACACCGTCTAGCGTATATGTCCTTGGATTGGGAGGTATCACAGAAACTCGGGTGATCGAGATACCATTTCTAATGTCATATCGCAAGGGTGGACCCTCGACCTGTTCATATACTCTGTGGAATAGCCTGACGCGTCTAGTGCACCGCCTCACTCGGACGCCTTTTTCAATGCAAATACCATTTGTGGATCTGCCGTAGTATCCGCGAAACAAATACCTTCCTCCGTGGCGCCTAGCATGTCCCAGCAAAGTATCTTGACGTCGAATGGGATGCCCGCATCCTCTGTCTCACATTCCTCATCAGAGGTGTGCGCATCTGACCATGCATTTTTCTCCGTAGCACTGAGAGTGGGCCGTTGCGTCACAGCGATGATAGCGCTTGTCCCCGCATATTGCACTGGTGGCTTGATATCGTCTGTCGGTGGCTCCTCGCCCGACCGATTAGAAAAGACGATGACGATCTTCTTCGGAGACTCTGCCGCCTTTCCGCCGTCAAGATCCACCTCATGTTCCATCCTCTTTTGCAACAGGGGCCAGAATCGCTGAAGCCAATAGTTGAAAGTATCCATCTCGGGCTTTTCCTTCAAGGCATCCAGCTCTTCCCGGCTCAGAGTGGTCAACCAGGCCATGGACAGAATGACAAGCTGGGACTTGGAGTCAAGCACCCGAGTTGCAAATTCCCACTTGTCGAATGGCGCCTCAAACTTGTACGGATTGATATCCATGCAGATACCGAGCGAAGTCGCGACCCGCTTTTTCTCGGAACAAACCTGCGCGCCCTGGTGCACCGGGTTCGTCAAGGAAGATAGCGTCCCTTGGGAAGTAAATTCTAGCTCATGGAACCCTCGCTCCACTTGACCTTCAGTCGCCCACGTTTCGTCGGTGTAATACAAGAAGCTTTTGCGGTAGTTGAGGATGAACTCCCCGTTCTCGTCGACAACAAGCAGTGAGTTATAGTATATAACTTTGTCGGGATTTTGAGAATCCTTCTCAATCTCCGGATACCCCACGCAGACCTTGCATCGCAAGCGTCTGGCAGTCTCACGCGCCCACGAGGCAGAGGGGCCATCACCAGCTGGCTCGAGATATGGCTTGATCGCTTCCAAGGAAGGGAAGTTATAGCCTACTTAATGATTAGCGAGTGAAATTTTACTATAAATTGAACTGAATATCAGATTAGAGACTGGGGGAAGACGGGGTTCATGATGCTCAATATACGCTGGACGTTTTGTTGGGAAGGTACGTACCCGTCATCGCCAACTCGGGAAGGACCAGGATATCGGGCTTCAACAGATCGACCCCAACCCCGAGCTCTTTTCCATCTACAGAAACAGTCTTGCCGGTCTTCAATAAAGCATTTGCTTTCTCAATATTGCCTTTGAGATCGCCTAGCTTCGGTGCGAATTGAAGGGTTGCGATCCTCATCTTGCGAAACGGTGAGGTTGAGAAGTTTCTGAAGCTAAGAAATGACACGTGTTGTGTGATAGGTATTTCCTTAGTGAATCGTGATAGAGATGCGTTTGAAGTCAATGGTAGTGTTGACGTGGTCGAGGTATGAAGTTCGTGACTTCTGGTCCCAACACGGACACAACGGGGAAGGATTTTTGCCAGAATGATGACGGGCAGATCAAAATCTTTGAGCTATATCACAATATACCCAAGATAATTATTTATATACTGTGATTTTCGAGTACGAGTCAGGAGCACTTCCAGGGTATGGTTGTAGCTTGGACGGAAAAGCGATGGTGTGGACTGCGGGTCATTATGAAAGTTGGTGCCTCAGGGATCAATATCCCTGACTTTCTAGATTCACCATCATGAACATTTTGATATTCCCAGATACCAACTGAATTATTTATTGCCAAGACTACAGACTAAATTTATGAACAGCTGTACGAGCTATAAAAAGCATCAAGGAAACGCCAATACTCGATATATTTACCTACACCTATTGAACTATGATTGGTGCAATTGTGTGTGCAACTAACTAGTTACTTGATGCTGACGATGTACTCATGTTGTCTTTCTAGTATGTAGCCATTTAGAATTGGTCCCTTTAGTTTTAATACCTTTCGCCGTGAACCACCCATGCGCTTCTTAGCACGACAGGGAAAAAAACTTACATTTTGATACACACTTTTCTATTCTCAACTGCTCTATTTAACCCAATCATGTAGAGAACTCTGCATCGATCCTTGTTATTTGACTATAAATACATGAATTTTGAACGTTAAACACAAGAAAAATGCCGTTATCTCCGCTCACAATCAGGCAATGCCCATTTAACCATCCAATTCGACATTAGCACCTCTTCAGCAGTTGGTCGCTCTTCTGGTCGGAAGGACAGCATCCGGCGCATCAAATCCAGAAACGCAACTTTTTCATCTTCCTCAATCTCGCCTCCCATCTTCCGTCTCCATTCCTGTACACCAGTCTCAAAGGATTCCTCGAGCGGGGGCCATTGATTTCCCTTGTAGGACTCCACTGGATATCCATCCTTATCGAAAAATCTAGATCGCGCTTCCCAGTGCTGCCACCATTCCGATGGCATAGGCCCTAGTACATCGATATTCTGAGCCGCTATCTGATCCCCATCCACAAAATCGGTGCTAAATATAGCCTTCATTCCAACAATCTCCCATATTGCTGTAGCCAGACTCCAGATATCTGAGGGATACCCCAAAGGCATTTGCGATTCGAATTTGACTTCTGGGGCCCGAAACGCATTTGGCGTGTGGCAGTCTTTCCCCAGACGAGTTTTCGAAGTGGGGGGAAACGCCTCACCAAAGTCAGTTAGAAGGGGATAAGCGTCGGATAATGAGAACTCCTCCGCATATTTCCCTATGAGTAGCGGTACAACACCTTTAGTCGGGGCATTGGGGGGCAATGGTTCTCCGTCACATCGTGTGATAGGGACTGTATCAGGTTCGCCGAATCTTTCATAGAATTGCCTGATGGAAAGCTCATCGAAGCTTGACGGGAGCTTGAACAAAATATTATTTAAATGAATATCTAAATTATCAAACGTATTGAATATTAGCAAACTAGTATTTAAATACATAACTATGGTTATAACGAACCTCCATGAATATAGCCTTGTGAATGTATATAAGCAACGGCCTGTGCGAGTCGATATGAAAGTGCTCGTGCAACTTCCATAGGGAAAAGATGGCTAAAAGAGGCCTCTCTAAGGTTGCATTGTGCAGGGGCCACCGTGTAGCATGTATGTTCTCCATTGGGACCCTGCACTTCGAATTCATCTAGGAAAACAGGTACCAGCCCACTCCCAGGATGCTCTGATGAAGACGATGGAGGTGGAGAAGACAGAGCTCTAAGGACTTGCGTCTCGTGCTGAATCGAACTGGCCACGCTGATCTTGAGAGTAACATATCGGCTCAGATAAGTATCTCGGGCAAGCCAAACCGTCGAATACCCACCAAAGCCAAGTTTGTCTGTAATGTGATAACGGTTATGTAACACGTCCCCCACCATGATGGGATGATACCCCCCAGGTTGATATTCTTCAAGTGGCTCAACCCCCTCGATCCAGTCATACTTGACGCGATTTTTCTCGGTCTTTGTGGTGCCTAGCCGCACGAAAGACATAGAGTCGAACTTTCGATGCCAAGGTGATTGGAAAACTGGGATTGAAGGTCGAGAGGAGGTCGAAAAGTGGACAGGGCGTGCGAATATTCCCAAGGAGCGTGCCATGACGTGCTGGTGCGATTAAAGAAATACTGGAATAGTGAAGTGCCCTTGGGGGAAAAAAAAGCCGTGGACTTTAGATGCAGCACAAGTTAACAAGGGTAAATCAATTACGTGGTTGACTGACTAGGATGTGGTCTCAAGAGCGTTGCCGCTCTCATATGGCAGGATATAGATCACGTACATCGATGTAACGGTATGCTGATGTTATTATTGGCTAGGGATACCAATTTACCGCCTCGCTTTCCGCCCCTTCCCCGGTTCTTCTCGTTTTCTTCCTGCTACTCTACGTTATAATCCGACACAAGTGTGTAGGTCCTTATAGCGTTAGCACTTTCTAGGCACCTATCTGGTATCTAGGGAGGGATGTGTGCCTTTTTCGAGGGATCTTTCTTTCTTGCAATCTTAGGCTGACTGGTTGATCTATAGAACAACAATGATGAAAAGATGACGACGAGTAGTATCTGTCATAATGACAGGATGTGTTGTAGCCATGCAAGCACGATATCTAGACCAAGGGTACAGAAAGAGATACCATTCGAATATCGTTTAAAGGGTCTTATTCTTATCATGTACTAAACACATCAAAGAAGTATACACGTCGGGCGATCCAAAACAGAGGTAAAAAAAGAACTGGAAAAGAGTTGGAAACGAAGTGATCAAAAGGATAAGATTACTATATCTTTTGGCTTGGTCGGTTATAAAGTACTCCAATGTTAAATAACAACCTTGATAGGTCGTCTCCGTTGATCATCTCACAAGCCTTCAATGGCCGAATTCACAAGTAAACATTTTGCCTCCACACTCTGATTGAAATAAGCCTTGACAAACTCGCGAATTGTAAACAGAAGATTCCAAAATCCCCTTCTAGCAACGATAGTACGCTCGTATCATCACAGTTGGGGTCTCAGTTGCACTCGGGAGTAAACTTCGGCGCCACGCAAACCTACTAGTTGGCACTATCGGAATGTTGTGTCCTCTAGTTGCAGTTGGCGGACTTGGAACACCACCCGTGAAGGAGGGTCCTTCACGCAAAGCGTTGGCATTGCAATTGTTGTCTTCGCTTATATCAACATCGTCTTCTTCAACTTCTCCATTGGCACGTTGCCCTACACCATATCTTCCTAGATAGCAGTTGGTCGAAACCGAAACAAGATTACTGCCTGTGCCATGGGAGTCTTCTTCTTCACCATCTGGTTGATCACTTTTGTTTGTCCTTATATCTACTACTCGATCAGCTTGGGGCCCATGCTGGGTTTTATTTTTGGCGGAACTAGTAATCTTTACTTGCCATACATCTGGTTCTTCGAAACAACGGATAGTACAAACAACGACATTAGCCAGCTATTCAAAGAGAAAGCCCCAGTCCGTCAGTGGAAAAATCATATGCTCGAGCAGGAATACGGTGCAGAAGAGGATATGAAAACCTCGACCATTCAGGAGATTGAACATCTAGTCAGTCTAGATGTTGGCTTTGTTCATGACTAGCCTTTGAGAAATTAAATATGTGATGTGCCGCTATATCACTCTATAACCAGACTTGCCTCCAAATAACCCAGCGTATGCATATCGAACGCCTCCTTTATACCCCAGCCTGTAAATAGATAAAGAAAAGAAAGCAATTGAAAGATGTGAATAAATCTTCGCTGTGAGTATCCATTGGGGAAAAAGATATCATTAAAAACGACTCCACGAAATGCAAACATGAGATGAGCATAGAGAGTAAGCGAGTGCTCAGATCCATGGCCCATATGAGAGGAGAATAAATCAGTGTGAGATACACCATGAGATAATTACAACATGGGGAATGAGGAAAGCATAGTGCATCTCCTTAAACGCCGTGAGAAGACACGTCTTTCTCTTTCTCAACCTTCTTGTCTTTGTCGTTATTTTCCTTCTTTCCGTTCTTGCTCTTAGCCATCTCCTCTTTCTCTCGCTTGTGACGTTCGAAATCAAGGGGCACATGTGCCAATCCACGGGCACCAGTGCGTCGGATACGCTGTTCGGTGCGGGACATAGGTCGGTTTGGGGTATCAGGGGCGTAGGCGACCTCGTATCCTCTGGCAGTGCGATTAAGTGTCAGAGGCGGGGGTACATATGAAGTTGGTTGGGGGATTTTTCGGGCGCGATACTTTTCTGCAATCCGGGCAATGGGGTTCCAGTTTGGGTCGTGCCATGGCTCTCGGGTTTTTCCAGTCCAACCATCAAAGATTCCAGGGCCAGTTCTCAACTTCTCGGCCAAGATCCGTGCCCGGGAGAGGGCAATCTCATCCTCGTCAACTTGGCGAGCCCGTTTCAGGCGAGCTTCCTCGATGTACTGGAGTTGTTCTTCAGTAAGACGCGTTGGCTCGCACAAGGCCTTGGCTCGTGCAAGTTTTTCTTCCAGCTTTTCTAGGATCGGGAGCTTCGGCATGGGGCGATTTTCTGCTTTGTAGACGGAGAACTTAAAAGGGACATGTTCCTCCTCTGGGGAAACCTTGGGTACCTTAGTACTCGGACCTTGTTCCTCCGGTTGGGACTCGGAATTTTCATCCAGCACTCGCTTCTTTTCATGGACTTTAGACTTCTTGTGCACCGAAGACACTTGTGACTCCTGTGGCAGAGGCTTTTCCTCTTCGAAATGCACGGAACGTTTGAATGATCCATCAGAGGCTGCAGCAGGAGCTTTTCCTTTCAGCGAGGAGCGCCTCTTGCGCTGATGTGATGCATTTGCATCGGTGGCTTCATGCTGTCGTTTCAATGACGCTTGCTGTCCTGGCGCCGCTAAGGGTTCCAGGCTTTGGAACAAGGGTGCTGGCGGCTGAGTAATTGCCGTTTCAGGTGAGTATGCATTCGATGTGGTGTCAAATATTTTTGGCTGCCGAAGTGCTTCAAAGAGAGTCCGGGGAGGCGAAGAGGCGGTGGCTTGGGTGTGCGAAACAGACTGACGCGTGCCCGAAATCGAAGCCGAGCCGTTTATAGGAGGTGCGCGAGGCAGTTGGGCTTGTGCAGGTGCGGACTGGCTGAACACCGAAGTTTCACTTAGCTTGGGCGACTGTAAACTACCCAAAGATGGAGACAACCCTAATGGTGGGTTCTCGGGCGTGGGTGCAGTGGTTTCTGGGATGTCTGATTTCTGGCTTGGCTGCGGTGCTTTGGGGACTGCAAAGGCCGAGCTGGGGACTGGAAATTGGCTTTCAGAAGACTCTGAAATGGTGCTAGCATTGTTCACAGAGAACGGCGACAAGGGCTGACCGAGACTCGATGCAGGTGCAGGTTCCTTAGCTTTGACAGATGTCTCCGGGGCTTTGATGGCCTGGAATGGAGATGGAGCAGCAGAGGTAACAGTGTTTCCCAAACCCACAGCTGGGAAAGATAGTGGAGCGTTCGAAACCGCAAATGGGTTAGTCGATGCAATCGTTGTTTGCTGGGCTTTGGCATCGCTCTTAGTCGCCGTAGACTGAGCATGGGTATTTGTGACACCAAAGGGGTTAGTACCAGAGAATGTCGAAGCCGCGAAGGGGTTCTTGGGTTCAGCCAACGAAGCGGGAGATGAGGTGCTGGGCTTGAACAGCGTAGATGTGGCGGTAGTAACTGGAGCCGGTGTCTCTGTCTTCTGAGTTGGCTCTGATGGCTTCGAGAATGAGAATGAGGACGGCGCAGTGAAAGCACCCGCGCCAGAAGAGAATACAGACGCAGGTTTATCCACAGTCGACACCTCATGAGGCGAAGTGCTGGGTTTGAACAGCGTAGAGGGTGCGGTACTGACTGTCGCCGGTGTCTCCGTCTTTTGAGTTGGCTCTGATGGCTTGGAAAATGAGAATGGAGATGGCGCAGTGAAAGCGCCCGCGCCGGAGGATAGCACAGAACCGGAGCCATTCGAAAACACAGAGGCTGGTTTGTCCGTAGTCGACGATGCAGGAGGGAAGAAACTGGGCTTTGAAAACGTAGGCGCGGGCGGAGACGTTGCAGGCGTCTTTGTCTTGGGGTTTGCATACGCTGGCTTTGAGAATATGGACGAAGAAGAAGTAGAGGTGAAAGCAGACGATGAGGGCCCAGCAGGGCTAATAGACGAAACAGCCGGCTTGTCGGCAGTGTCGGGTTGAGAAGAAGGGAGTTTTGTCTGGAAGGGCGAGAGCGTAGTGGTCAGGGAAGAGGCGTCGGTCTTTTCGGGTTCTTTTGGGAACGAGAATGGATTTGGCGAAGAAGTGAAAGGAGACGACGCTGCGGGCGTAACAGTGGTGGAGGGGATTGAAGTTGCGAACGGATTCGAGGGGGGAGATGCCATTTTAGATGGCTGAAAGGCCGCCGCGAAAGGATTTGGCGGCTTTGAAGCGACGGGTGGTACATTTGGCTGGAAGAGAGAAGGCGAACTTGCAGGAGTAGATTGTAAAGATTTCTGAGACTCAGAAGCGATCCGGAATTCAGAAGCGGTCGTGTCCTGAAGAAGGGCGTTGGGTGTTTCAACCACAGGTGCGGGCGTCTGATTATCAATATCACTCACGAAAAGATCCCCGTCATCTGCCTCTGCCTCAGGCAAGGTTTCACTCTTTGGAGGCAACTGGGAGCGATCTATCATGCCCATTCTTGCGGCTTCTCTAATGTTCATGCCGAGAATGATGGCAACAAGACTACGTCCGGCGCGCTTCGACTCCACGTAGGTTTCAGAGAAAGAGTGGTCAGACGAAGGTGCAAAGTCTGGGAAATTGTTAGCCACAAAACAAAAAAAGAGGAATATATAGGATTGAAGGTATCATGAACTTGGGGCGACGGAGAGGGATGAGGAGGGAAATCAAAGGTTACAGGATTTGGCTGAGATGTTGTCGTTTAAAACCACTTACCAACAGAGTCTACTGATCGATCACCCCAATTGAGATAGAGTCCACCACTCGCGTTCTCCACAAACTGTAAGCCCTGTGCATTGCAATATTCAATTGTCTGCTCGTCGTCATCAAAGTGCAACACCTTGGTCAATTCTTCCACAGTCCAATGGTCATTTTTGGATTGCTGTGACAGTGGAGTCCGACAGTAGGCTTTCCAGATTGCACGAATTGCCGTCTGACGAATGTGGTTGAAGTATACCTCAGCCACACAGGCCATCAGATATGACACACTCGGAGAATTGATGATGTTGAAGAAGCGAGTGTAGAATCCCTGAGCAACTGCGTTCGGTCGGCGGGAATCTAGAGCACCTTGGGGCTCCCACGTATTACAGGCAGCGGCAAAGAGTTCCAATGCCACCTGCACTCGAGGTGAAGCGAGTAGGGCGGTTGGCCATTTCTGGACACGGGCTTCCAGATCAGGCCGCTGGTCATGGATTGAGAATAAGATGTGGTAGGCGCGGAACTCGTCCTCATTGGGGAAGTGGATGCGCTCGCGGTTGTCATCGTAGTAGTACATGAGAGAGAGCATGGTGTTGTTGAGCTGCTCACGCTCCTGGTGACGGTCAAATTGCTCCGTGTTCGCCGGGTTCGAAAGAAGATGCAGGGACACGATATGGAACCGCGCAATCCTTTCTAGGCAAATGACCGCTGTCTTTACGTCTTCTTCGTGTGTAAGTTGCTGCACCGAGAAGTCGTTCCGGATTGATCGCGTCCGGTTCCAGACAAACATGTGGATGACGGCCAACGATTCACCACCATTGATAACATAGCGGATGAGATAGTTCATGGTTTGTAAAAGTGTCTTTGGTGTCCGGATATCCGAGGGCAATTGCTCGTCATTTCCAGCTGCCGCACGTCGGAAGCGTTTCACCATCTTGGTTTCCATAATTTCCAGCTGGTTCGTTGCCGGATTAAAATACTAAAGCTTCTTGTCAGCGTGGTGCCAATAATAGCAACCGGCGCAACATTACCTTTTCACACTTGTCGACTGCTTTCTGCACGATCCGTTCCACCCTCTCGAAATCGGGACACATGCCGGTGCAGGTACCCACTGGTGTGATAGCCTGGTTCAAAGAAGTCGGCTGATTCGGGTCCGCCATCTGGCCATCTTTGATCGCCCGTTCGCGCTGTCTCACTTGATCAATTTTCAGCTGCAAGGTTGGTTAGCTCCGTGATCGCGTTGTCTGTATTCGATGAAGGGCAAACTGACTTTGTCAAAGCGTTCCTGGTAAGTGTTCAACGTTGATGCATGCTCCATGGACGCGGCAACATTAGATCCTCCGCCAACAAATTTCGCCGAGGATTGTTGTTTTGTAATGTTCGATTGAGCGAACGGGTTTTGAGCGACGTTCGAAGCCAAAGCACTGTTTGAGACTCTGGAAAATGGAGACTGCTGGGCGGGCTGAGCGCCAAACGGCGATACGACAGGTTTTTGTTGACTTGCTTGCGCAAATGGCGAGCTGACAACACCAGGCTTAGGACCCTCTGCGGGTTGTTGGGATCCATTCGCGGTGTGGTTCGCAGCGCCTGCGCCGCGACCACGGCCACGAGCCGTCCATGTCGCCGACCCTCGTCCACGCCCTCGAGCCCTCGCTGCGCGAGGCGCAGCTGACCCTCTCGGCACGTATGTTGACGTATGTCCACCTCTTCCCCGCCCCGTCGAGCCTTGCACGGTCGGCGCGCCTCCCCGGTGACCACGGCCCGCAGAAGGATTAAACGGGCTAGCCATCCTGTCCGCAAACAGCGGAATAAACTGGATAGGCCGCCGCCTCTTGTAAAAGCCCCGCCGCTGGCTCTATGGTCAATTTGATTTCGGATTTTTGAGGTGGATAATTCCGATATGCGGTGGGCAAATCGATTGCGCAGGATCTGAAAGGTTGTTGGCTGTTTGCTGAAGTTATTGCGCCGAGGCGACAATGAAGATGTCAGCCCATGTTACAAAGCCGTGAGGGGGTGGCCGGGATGGCCCAATATTGGAAGAGACAGCGGAAGGATACAAAGGAATGTCGGAGGGCAAAGCTGATGACTTGAATGGACTCGGGAATAGATTCGCACTACGCGTCAGTGAACTCACGGGTATTGTCGCTTTATGGGGATGTACAAGCGACCTCACGGACTTGTCGCCTTCAGTATTTGCGATTGATTGGGATTGTTCAACTCGTGAAGCATGCGCGTCGGAGTTTGCGGTAGTGGCGTGAACTAGAAAGGCGGCACCGGTTTATCAGCCCTGTAATACATCCCGCATGAGAATAATGTCCGGAATGTAAGCACGTACTGAGAGTAAAGCGATTGAAGAGGATGAAAATGGAAGTTCCGCCGTGCTCACGGAGCTTCAAGCTGAGCGGAGTGGCTCCGCTTACTCCGCTGACCAAGCGCTTATGTCGGCGCGCGTGTGCGTCTAATTGGGCGGCGGCTGGCGCGAGTCATTGAATTTCTTTTTATTCGAGAACCAATTAGATGAAATATTCCTAGTAACAATACGTAGTTATTATCGACAAGACCTATGTAAACACCTAGGTAGCTAACTAGTTATCGTTGACTATATCTAAGCAAATATCAACATATCCATCGTAGCCTCCTGAGGTCTATTCATTCCTATTTAGAGCAGATAGTTTGGATCAAGTTATACATACGGAGCGACAAGAGAGACTTGAGTCTCCAAATAAGATATAATATAATAATGATAATAATAACTACAAAGCTGGGGGGGGGGGGGGGGGGGAGAAGAGTCTTGGGACCGAAGATAGAAGTATAGAGGAAGTTAACAATGGTACACAAGCCTATATAAGCCCATAAAGGAGTTCTACGGTCCAATAAATGCAACAGTACCTCTGCAGGTGATGTCTATTGTCCTCTTCTCAGATAAGATGTGGCACAGTGGGTAAAACCTCGACCACGTCATATACTATACCTAGACCATGAAATCTATAAAAAGAAAAAGGAAAAATGTGGAATGTCAAAAAGGTCGACGTGGGTTTCGCATCCCAAATTATCCAAGGTCCCAAGGTTGCGACGCATTTCAGCCAAGGATGGAATTATGAGTTGTTTTAACATGGTTCTAGTGCGAGGAATTTCTCGGGAAACTCTTCAACTCTTCATGTTATTGTAATGACAAGACTAGTTTAAGGGAACAGACGAGACGCTTAATAGCTTTGCAGGGACTCACAAGAGCCGTATCCCTGGTTATACACCGAAAGGTTCAATGTTGTCTGTACGTTTTATGGGGTTTACAGTGTTTTCATATTTCAAGCTATAGAACTAAGAAGAGAAAAGACATAGTAGTTATCTTCAGTATAATGTGAACCTTGGAAGGGCGGAGGTTGCATCAGCAGCCGATTTTTCTTGTCGACTTGATTCAAGACCTATTGGGTCATATGGTCGAAGGACTGGAAATTTGCTGGTTATGATTATGTTTATAACAAGACACCCCGCGTGTCTGTATCACTAAGAACTAGGTACAGCTTAGTTGGATAGTCGAATGATAGTATCCTATAGCAATATCATAACTTTATAAAGAAAACCCACAAAGGAGACGTGTTGAGTAGTATGAACAGAACAAAATTATCAAATATCTACCCAAATCCCGTTTATCAACAGCTCCAAACATCCCATGTTGAAAACCCATATACACAATGAAAACCAAAATAACCAAGCAGATAAGCGGATTAGCAGAGAAGTAAAGACGCATAAGGCCAACACCAAGAAAGAAAGAAAAGAAAGGTGGGAAAAAGAGACGAGACCATGGAGACTCAAAAAGAAACCACTGAAAAACAAAGACCGGAATATATATCACTTTCAATCAAACACAACCCAAATATTTTCAAAAAAAGGAGGAAAATAACCAAACAGACCCCATTTGTACCGGCACCTGTCAAGATGACCCTAAATTTTTATACCACAATAAATCCAAAAAAAAAAAAACAACTCCTCTGATGAGCGCTAAGTTTGTTGACCAGAGCCATATCACTCATATATGTTCGTTAATACCCATACCATACCCATGCCTATGCCCCATTAAATCGCCACCCTCGAGCCATCTTGACAGAAGAAACCCACATCCCATTTAGACAGTGTGAGAGAGAGGCATCCCGTTAGGGTGTGGGTGGCCCAACGATCCTGTGCGGAAAGGTAGGGACCTTTGGTGGATGGAGTCCATGTGGGACTGCTGGGCATGGTGATGGGACATGTCCTGCATGTGTGATACCATGGGCATCTGGTAGGTCATTGAAGGCTGAGGCATACCCTGGCTAGATGGTGTAGCGTAGTCAACGGGGCTGAAGATGTTCTGGCGGAAAGACGGGGTCCAGGTATCGTAGTGGCCGCTTACTCCACGCTGATCGGGTGTAGAATTGGAGTAGGTGTTGTGGGCAGAGTAGTCGAAGGCTGAGACTGAGACGTCGTGAGGGCTGATCATCTCCGCGGTCACGGGAGTGCTGAGCATGGACTGCGAGGAGAATGAATCGGTGTATTGAGGAGGTGTGGTGTAGTAAGGGCGGTCCTGGCGGGCGGGATTTTCGAAGGTGAGTGGCTCCGCCATGGAGAAGCTGCCTGGGACGGAGCGAGTTGGGATGTTGTCAATTGGTGTGGTTAATGAAGTAGGTGCTTGGTCGAATGATGAGATTGGGGTCATTAATCCTTGGTTGATGTGCTCGGGCTCCTCGATAGTGACTGAGGTGGAGGAGGAGTCGTCTTCTTCGTCGCCCTTAGGGCTGGGGCCGCGGTTCATGGTGTAGACAACCATATTGGCATCAACTTCACCTCGTTCGAAACGCTCCTCCATCTTGCGGACGCGGAGGATCTCGTAGATGATCTCAACGTGAGACGCGTGCTTCAAGCTTCGCTTGGTGTCGCCAGCAACATCCTTAAGCTTATCGGCAGTAATACCGTAAGCACCGAGCTTGCGGATAATGTGAAGCAAGAGCTCAATGCGGTCTATTAGAGATAAGTAAGCAAGTAGATCAAGAATATATCAGACTGTAGGCAAATCATACACTCTTTTCTCAAGTGGTCAGGCTCCTTGTGCATAACACCGGGAGGCCACCACTCGGGCTTAGTCTTTTCTGGGTCGCCAGTAGTACCGGGGGCAGATCCTGCAGGTGGCTTGCCACCGTTGTAAGGGTGTCGGACCTGCTTGCGAGGCTCAATGAATTTGATGAATGCCTTAGCAACCATACGACAGTTCAGTTGTTGGAAGTGCTTTAGTGCACCTTCATAGTAGGCCATGACCTTTTGGGCATCTCCAATGCGAAGAGGAACCATTTCGGCAGACCCACTAGGAACGTCCTCGCTATCAGTGTCCTCTTCAGCTAGGGGGTCGTCATTGATAGAGAGAATAGGAGCGTTGCCCTTGCGACGTCTCACCCGACGAGGAGATGTGTCCATTGTCTCTAGATATTGGTGTTAGCGTATATTGATTGAGCCGAGGGTCTAGATAACATACGGCGAGCAGGGGCATGGTAGCCGATACGTTCACCCAGAATCTCGAGGAAGTTTTGGCGGACTTCTGGGGTGAAGACCGTAGAGTTTTGCTCTTGAATAGCAGATGATTCATCGACCTTAAGCTTGCCATCACGGTCAAGGTAAATCATGGCAAAGTGGGCATAAGGGGGACGGAATGATGAGCGGGAGTTGGTCATCATCGGCTAGCCAGGATGTTAGTAAGGGTTAACGTAGGTTTCTTCTCCCAAATGAGAACATACAGGAACATCGCCCCACCCGGGGGGTCCTTCGAGTGCCGAGGCAGACCTCTTCATGGCTCCGCTTGTTGGTTTACTATAAACCATTGTGGCGGGTATAGATACGTATAGGTGCTGACGCGATGGTCTCGAGAATGGTGATTGAGTATCAGTCAAAATAGTGAATCGAGGTACCAAAAATGAGAGTGACGATGGTTCTGGATGTTGCACGTCCAGGAGAGACTGTTCTCTTTATAGATAGTGTTGCTCAAGTGGCGGGGTTGCGGTTTAGTCTTGCAAAGAAGTTGGTACTGATGGCTGTGGAGTTACAGTCAGCCAACTGACTCTCAATATCTTCGGCAGCACCAGTCCGTCCCCGGGAGAGGGTGTTCATGAACACCCAACGGCGGAAAGGCCATTCCCGCTCCGGTACGGCAACCGGTAGGACAAACGCTGGGATTCCGACAACCGGGATCCAATCAAGCTCTTACAAACAGAGCCGGAGGAGGATTGGGATGTACTCACATAGTCTGAGTTGACAATGTGCAGGTATCTCAATGGGGATGGGAAGCGGATGACTGCAGCAAAGTGACTGTCCGTAACCGCAATGCAGGAACGAAAGGAAGCCTCCACTCTTTGTGTACCCAAGTAAACGAAAGGCGACGGGGGGTTGGAACGGTTGAGAATGAAATATCTTGAAAGAAGATCAAGTGGGATGTTCTTTTAAATAAAGCTGAGGGAGTATAGAAATCAAAAATCAAAAAGAATATGAAGGGGATATGCAAGCCTTTTTCAGTTCTAGACTTTAACATGTAAATGACAAAAGGACGATGGGAAAAAAAATATGACCATTAATTCAACATGGATGATCCTAGAAGCCGAGTGATCGTATGCAGCGAGATTGGCGCATTCAGAGGACATGCAGTAGCTTAGACTTGGGACCCGATCCAGGATCCCTGTTCCCACTATTTGTAGATCGCATAATTTATTTTAATTCTGATTTTGAATTTATTATTTTATTATTTTACTATTTTACTATTTTCTTATTTATTATTTTACTATTTTACTATTTTACTATTTTACTATTTTATTATTTATTTATTTATTTATGTATTTATGTATTTAAATTTATATTAAATTTATAATTCGATTAATTCATTAATCCTATTATTCCATAAATCCATGTCCGGGCAAAACCCAAGAATGGCGCTCATTATCGATCCCCCCACAAACAAGGTCTCATGGGTTGCTGTCAGTTCCAACAGACTCAAAAAATCTTACGGGATCAGATCCCTAAATCACTTACGCTATACGAGGCAACCAATGCTCACCCTAGACCTTAGCAATATAGATGTAAATCATAGACACGAACCTATGAAACAAGTACAGCACTCGCGTCTAGCTGTCAGGCACAAACACACCCATTTGGAATACGCACAGGCCTTATTTGACGCCGTGTGTGTGCTATTCTTAATGTGCAGATCGCAGACCTTTCGGAGCTTCCGGTTCAAAAAAAAAAAAGAAAAAAAAAAAAAAAAAAAAAAACTCGTCATCGGTGATGCTTTGAATAAGAAAAGTACATGGAGTACTAAAAGTGTATAATGATATAATGATGCCTATATTATCCTATTATATTACACTATATTACTTAGATTTATCATTATCTAACTATAACACCTTTTATTTTTTGTGTTTTCGATCTTCGGATCTCAACGCCAAAGTGCCCCGACACTAGCAACCAACCAAGTAAACTCCAGTAAATGAATCCACACTTCCCCATCCTTCGTGAACCTATCAAGGTGAGGCTTGTGCTTGGCCCAACACCCTGGATCCTGGGTGATGACTCGCCGATAATCTGTCAGTGTTTCTTTTTTATTCCCGTCTTGAGCTTGTTGCTGCTGTCGATCGACGTTCATTGACATATACTACTCCGTACTCCGGGGTGGCAAGCCAGAAACAGTGGGTTTCTGGAATCATAGACCTTGGCTTCAGCTGAGTATAGCATAAGGCCCAAACCCCCCTGAGATCAGACCTCAATCTCGCCAAATCAATCCAAATCAAGTGAAGCAAATCGGTTGAAGCCACAGGGGAATAAAAAAAAAGTACCTACTAATACGACCGTAGCTCTCGCCGATACCGATTTATCCGCAAAGATGGGCTATAATCAATTCCAAATAAATAAAAAAACACCGCTCTAGGACAGATCGAGATAATAGAGTGTTTGGCATCCCAACACCACGGCATGATCTACCCTCTTTCTCCCGGGGAACGAAATTGTTTGCAAAATGGTTCGAGTAACTATACTACGGAGGGTTAGTGGTGGTACTTTTTGACAGTCGACGACCTTTTGTGACAGCCCAATCAAATGTCTTCCTCACCCCCGCGTCCAGGTCTGTGCTCAGAGTCCAGGGGAAAGGGAACTTGGTACCCAGGACTCTGTCAACGCGTCCATCTCCCGTCCTGGTGGATTACACTGGCGTTTCTTGGGATAACCGCTACAGTTTTGCACTATGGGGTTTTGAAATCACCCGGAACAAAGAAGATGTTCATAACGGCCCAATTTGGTCAATGCTACCCAAAAAAAGGGGGATAGGATCTAAAACATTCTAACCTACTATATCTTGTCTACTCCGTATACTATCTTGAAATTACAAAAAAGGGAATACTTCCTTGGTCCCACTATCCATCCACACTATATTAGGGAAGATGCAAGCAGCAGAGTTTTTTTCTTCTTTCTAATGCACAACCAACTCCAATCTGATTGTGTACTTGGAGTATTATATCGATCTGATCAATCTCATCGAAATGAACTACTTCCTATTACTCTTTACCTAACATCGTAACATTCCAATTGCCGTGCTGTCCACTTCAATAGCATCGAACCGCAGTGCCGCTTGCAAATTGAATGCACCAACCCCCGCGGAAACAACGTAAGCAATATCAATATATATATATATATATATTTTAGGTTGGCGCAAGGCATAGATAGAACAAAGCAGTATCGAACTCAACAGTTTAAGGGCAACAGTATGCTATTTGTCACTGCGTTGGCTCTTTGAGGGCGCAAAAATCGCAAAACTAGACATACCGGGATACTTCATCTAGTAATCAGAAAAATCTACGGCTTCAGCGATGACATCCCCGGGCATGGTTTCTTTGTTCGGGCCTCCCCACCAGAGCGGTTTGTTTGCTTTGTCCGCCTAGCCGCCGTGGAATTTTTTTAGCGTGGGTATCAAGTGGACTTCTCTACTCCGTAAACTACATCTTACAGATAGCTAAAGAAAATAAAATTAAACAAAAGTCCCCAGTTACATTTGAAATCACGGATTACTCCGAATGTACTACGGAGTTACTATATTATTCAATACGTATTTGAATTCGATTTGAATATTAGCTTAAGGCCTAGGCTTTAAATGCCCCCTTTTTTTTAAAAAAAAAAACCCCCCATGTCAGAGATCAGGCTTCTAACATTTGACACTTGCAAATGAAAGCTTCTCATTGGGCGCAAGAGATGATCCCTACCTAGGTACCCAAACACTTAGATTAGCCACAGATCTGCCACATCGTGGCTGATCTATTTTAAGCACTGCCACAGCCCTGGATATGATGGCTGAAGGGGGCAAAATGTCTGCACCATTTATTTACTTGAGGCACGGTAAAGAAGCGTTCATGGATGCTCCCTGCTCGACCTGGATTTCTGTGAAGATTTTGAAACCAAGACACATGTCAGGAAGTTTGACAGCTTGGCATTGTCAATCCCTATCACACTAGTGTCAGCAAATATTTGATGAGCGCCAACTATTTAATCTAGCGGCCGCCATTTCCGCTTACACTACGACCCAAAAGGGAACTAGGGCTCGGATTTGTTCGGCCATGCAATCACCCTGAAACCCCAAAATGAGGCGTGGGCGCTCAGTGGACTCGGCGGATATGTGACAGCGGGTGTGCACTGACGGGGAAGAAAATAAGTGGGTGGGGGCTGGTCAGAAGATTGGGGATAACTGCGACTATCACACGATTGGGGGTTGGTAGTGTTGAAGATTTGGTGATCTACACTTCCAAACAACTTCATGTCTGTGCCCGTCGCACATTTCTAGAACGCTCGAGGAAAAAGTCCTGGGCTGATTACAAGGACTGGGATGGCTTGTTGGGATGGTTCACCGCTAGAGGGAGTGTGCAAATTATACCAAAATATACAAAAATATACAAAGCAATCTCTAGATGAAATCTTTTTTTTTTTTTTTTCGTGCTTCAGAAAATTACTTCGAGTTTATCCTTCGCTTCAGAGTTCGTTGATCCAATAGTCAGTTCTGAAGATCATCTCAATTAAGATAGAATTAAGCGATTTGAAGGAGGGGTAGATATGTGGAAAGGGGGTGGGAATGTATACACAGAGGGTGTGTGAGTCTGTTCGCAGGGTATTAGCAGGAATAGCGAGACGGTCGTTTCGAGGCTGCATGATCGGTGTGCTACAAAGATACCGTTGAGAGGCAACCTGCGCACATGACAGATGGAGGGCGAGGATATTTCCGATTTGGGGAAGAGATAGCTGCATTCATAGAGTATCCTCGTATTAAAGAAACGTCAGGGCCTATCAAACCAGCACTCTATTTGGATCTTCGGGACGGACCAAAATGGTACATGACTAGTGCAAATTCTCAAATCCGAGCCACCGCACGATCGATCAATGATGCACATTGATCAACTACGATCGAACCCAGAGAAACTGGCATTGCGTCATTCAGTGCCTCTTTTTTTGTCGGGGCGTTTTGTGGCCGAAGCCGGGACCTGTAAGAGAGTACTCCCCACACACAATTTGGTACCTTTTTTCAGATGTAAGATTGGCAAAGGGGAGGTTCATGGTCAGAAGGACATTGACATTTCGCGCTTGTACTTTTGATATTGACCAGTAATCGGTCGAAGATGACTTTCTTCTTTTTTTTTTTTTTTTTTACAAACTGTGGAGTCCCCCCCAATCCAATCCCGCTAGGACCCTGAGGCCCAGACTCGACCCGACTCGACCCCACCAAAGCCAATGGATTTTGGGCGGGTCGGGGATGGCGGTCCGGTCAAACTAAAGCTGTCAAACTCCGGATAAAGTCTAGTTT